AAACCCAAAACGGAAAAAAATGTTATCACTGTACATTTGAACTAAAGGAAAATATTATAGGGGTTAAAGATGACAGTTTTTTCCCCCATACAAACCCTAACTATCCATAAGGATGTCCATGTTCACTAACACTCCCTCTTAACTTACAAAGCTCCCTCTTCTTCTTCCTCTTCGCTCTCAGAGGCCCTGACTGAGTGAACCTAACCAATGAATCCACTGAATGAGCCCTCTTTATCTCTTCCATTGAATCTGAACTGTATTCCATATTGAGAAAAGAACCATAAACCAACGAAGGTGAAGCTCCACCCCAACTGCTCTCAGGGCCAAAATCTTGACCAAAAGAAGAATCCTTTTGACTGTTAGAATCTTCACAGCCAATCTCTTCCTTATTGCTACAAATAAGCTTCAATGCTTGTACTACTTCACCCATGAATGGCCTCTGTGATGGCTCGCTATGAACACACATTGAAGCTACTGCTGCTACTTTAGAGAGGTTTTCAAAGTCATAATTCTCTTTTAAGTAGGGATCGAGGAGTTGATCGAGGCCTTCTTTGGTTCCTAAAAGAGGACGAGCCCACACAACGAGGTTTTCTGGACCCTCGAGGTTTGACATCACGGGTTTTTGACCAGATAGAAGTTCTAGAAGCACGACTCCGTAGCTGTAGACATCGCTCTTGATGAGGAGGTGCCCTGTCATTGCATACTCAGGAGCGACATATCTGTGAAAAATCACAAAGAAGTAATCAGGATCAGCAATAATGAAGGCTCATGAATTTTGGAGTTTCTTTATCGATGAATCTAGAAAAATATCATTTGCACTTTTTAGAATGTGACATTATTTCAGAGGAATCTTCAGCATAACCTAGGCCAACGAGCATTTCACACGATCAACTTTTCGCAGTTTTGTGGATGTGGTATTTGTTGCATATCTTGTAAGCTTCATGCTCAGGCAGACATGAATGCTGCACTTGTTCCCAAAATTATTTTTATGACTGTTTAATTCATGACATATGCATATTGACAACGGTTACATTGTAGATTTTGGGAGTTTATATATTCATATCATAATCATTAACCTTTATTCTCGACAAAAGATTTATGGTCTAATCAGAGCATGCGTTGTCTGACATCCTCCCTCCCTAAGTTTCCTATTCAATATATTCCAGAGTACTAATAAAAAAATTTCACTGCATAGCATGGAGCCTTTTTGTGGATATGGTAGGATCAGATTCTAATACTGAAGCCAATGTATGTCCCTTTTAAATCTCTATAAAGAGAGTTATAATAAAGAGAGCTCAAGGATTGGATCTGCTCCCATCTTTGTCTCCTAAAAGGCTAAAACAATTGACAAAAAAACTTAATGAGGTTGCTGCAGATTTTACGCGACAAATGAGGTAAATCTTACGGTCTCCACTAATTTTCCCTTTGTCAAATACAATATCTACTCCGTATTCTAATTTGTTAGACAGATTTTGTGGTATATTTGACTTCTTTTTCTTTCAAAATTTGTTTTCTCCAGTCATATATAGTGAGCTTGACAACTGTATTTTTATCAGATATTACGTATAATAGCTACAAAAGGAAATAATTATGTTATGGTCAGAAGTAACTTACCCAAAAGTTCCCATAACCCTAGTAGAAACATGATTACTTCCTTCTGATGCTTCTCTTGCCAACCCAAAATCTGAAACCTTTGGGGTGTAATCTTCCTCCAACAACACATTACTGGCTTTAAAATCACGGTGTATGACACGGGGATTGGAATCCTCATGTAGGTATGCCAGGGCTCTTGCTGCACCAAGGGCAATCTTCATGCGTGCATCCCAATCTAGAGGTCCCTTTCCCTTATCAGCACCTGAATATATTACATATATGTACCATCTTAGTATTTTGGGTAGCGTACTTGAAGAATAAAGGGAAAATTGCCCATTTCGTGGGATCAGAATTGGAAACTGGTTAGTTCAATAGACACCAAGATATCTGAAGAAAACAGACATGAGAAAGATGTCACAAACAAAGGACAACAACCATATTTACAACAATAGATTCAGACAAAGCAAAGTCCAAACATATTTAATAATGGATATATTATGTAAATAACAGAATAACGTAGATAACTGGTCACTGAATTGTCATTTGTTTGATCATCAGTGAGAAGTGAGAACTCATGATTATCAAAGTTCTCCACATAACAGGGATGCCACCTAGAATCATACATAAACCTATGAAATAATTTGTGAACACTCAATTCAATCAGAGATAGTCAACTTCCTGAATAACATGACAATAAAATGAGTAACATCTGCCTTACATATAGAACTACCAAACTTAAAGGAAGAAGAAAATAATTATGTGAGAGGTAATCCTTTAAGTCAACAAGCAATACAGAAATGTGCTGAATTATGTAAATAAATTATAAGAGAACTATCTGAAAAGGGAAAAGTGTATAGAGGTACATACCATGAAGATGGGACTCAACACTCCCATTGCGAACAAGCTCATAAACCAGGCAACGCTTGCGTCCCTCAATGCATATACCAATCAACTTTACAAGATTACGGTGATGCAGTCGGCTAAGCATTTCAACTTCTGAAATAAACTCACCTTCACGATCTCTGTCCTGGTTTACCCTTTTAAGCAACTTGACAGCAACATCACTTCCATCTTCCATTATCCCATGGTAGACACAGCCAGAGCCACCTTCGCCTAGCTTTCGTTTGATGTCGAACTCATCTGTGGCCTTCTCAAGCTCGGACAGTGAGAAAGTCCTCAGTGATTGTGGACAAGTAGCCATGGTGGAAAGAAAGGATGCAGATCTTGAGCTTGCTAAACTACTGGGTAGTAGAGATCTGATTCCTGCATCACATGACTTACGATATCACTTTGTAATACTGATATGCTTGTAAAAATATCTAAGGTGTAGATGATGAAATGTAAGTTAATAGGCTGCAGAGAGGTGTGGTACTTCCTAAATTAGCCAATTCAGCAAACAAATATGGTAATATATAAGAAGTTAGAGAAGTAAAAAAGATGAAATTAGTGCTGAAAGTGATTATCCAGAAACTGACTGAAGCTCCAAAGTTTAACCTTGATCATATGCTTTATTACATAAATAACATGTCCAGAATGCATATTCACACATATTAAGGTAAGCAAAACTAACTCCAACTGATATCTTTTCAGACTCATGTGTCTTCCATTTTCGAGAACTATAGATGTATCAGCCTGGTCAGTACTAGAGAATGTTGACTGTGAAAGACATGTATTGCTCAAAGGAGTTTTTGCTTTTAGACCCATTTGTTTACTCCCATTTATCTTTAAACCCAAGTACTATTATTTCTATCTTTAAGCCCAATTCACATTTTGTATTTATCTTTAAACTCAATCTCCAAAATATAAAAACAAGTGGTGAAAATATAGTATTTTGAAGATTGGGTTTAAAGATAAATACAAAAGGTGAATTGGGCTTAAAGATACAAATAATAGTACTTGGGTTTAAAGATAAATGTGAGTAAACAAATGGGTCTAAAAGCAAAAACCCCTTGCTCAAAATGGGTCATTCTTTTTTAGTCATTTTCTATACTTAGTTACGTCTATAATAGTTTTTTCATAACATATATTTTCTTCATAAGATACAATACTACAATACAAATATATATTATAAAGAGTGCAAATGGATTGGGTTGGGTTATTTGTCTGGTAGGGTTACATTTCCCAACCAATACGGACTTGACTCAGGATGTCAAACGATACCTGACCAGGACATAAACATGTTACCGTATCCAATCTGAGTATTCCACAAAGCATAATTTATGTGAGGCAGTGTTTTCAAAGGCGCGTGCCTCATTGCGCCTCATGCGCCTTACGATGTGGGGCAGTGTCGAAGCGCCCCACATCTGATGCAGCAGCGCCTTTTGCGCCTCGCGTACATCCTTACTTTGTGTAGGGTGCATATAGTACATATCCTCATATAGTTTTATTTGTTAACATTTCAATTGAGTCTTTATACTTGATATTTCATATCCCAAAAAGCAAAATAAATCCATTAGGCCTTTTTAATAGCCTTCAATTGAGGACAATTACTAATCCTTTGCTTGGATATTAATCTTGATTTAACATTTGATTTAAAAATTTATGAATTTTGCTACTATGTTGAGTGTTAGCATTAGAAATTAAGGCATTATATTGTAATTTTGTAGTAATATATTATTTATCATGATATTTTTCATGTAAATTCTAAAAACATGTTCTTTCGCGCTTGATTACCTATATTGAAAAATTATGTGCGGTGTGCGCCTCGCATCACTCGGGCGTGCGCATCGCGTTGCGCCTTACGCATGTGCGCATAAAGATGCTTTGCGCCCCGCATTGCGCATTAACAACACTGATGTGAGGTATAAAATGTCATTTGATTTCGAAGCAATTGAAAATCTGATGCATCCTGAAAAACTAAAACTAAATTGCTTAATGAATCAGCAGTTCATTATTCTCAGTTCTGAGTGCCGCCCTATTTACATTTCCATATAGAATCCTTTTTGTTACTTAGCAGATACATTTATTAGCGTGAGATTAGCACTACATACATGGTTGAAAAGTACCAATTATCAAATCATATTTAGTCAACTCATCTAAGATTAGACGAGCATGACTTCAAATGGTGCACACACACAAAAAAAAAAAAAGAAAAAAACTGTGCAGTAATTAGCTTACCTGGTCTTCTAGCAATAGATGAGCTAGCGGGGCCAAGGGTAGTAGCTGGTTTTCCAAGTTTGACCGCTTTCAAGACAAAAATAACAAATCCAAGGCATAGAAGCAAAAGGATTAATGAGGAAAGTGCAACTACAGCAATGATTCTATTATTCATCTTCTGAGTCTTGTCAGTGGGTACATTTGCTGTAAAAGGATATTGGTAGCTTCCAGGTTCACTAGGCCCAGATGCTGATCGCCCAAATGAGGATGGTGGAGGTGAAGGAAGTCCTGTCAAAGATATATGCATAGAATAAAACAACAGAACCAATAGTTGATGACAGGCTACATAAAGCAAAATTATCATAGTACCTGGGTAATGAACATTAATCACTTCATACTCGTGAAATAATGATTTGTTCACCGGCACTTTCTTCTGCCAAAACCTCTCATAAATCAATAAGGCAGTCATCTTATCAAACCTCTCTCCTAGCGGAACTAAATACAAGGTTACTTCTGCCTTTCCTTGATCACGAGGACTGGTCAGGACACTTATGATCTTCACTTGACTTTGCTTCAGAAATGTCCCAGCTGCAACCTCAACTTCTAGCTCTTGAACAAGCTGAAGCAATACATATGAAATTACTCCTACATCAATAACAACTTTCATAGGGAACACACATCCACAAGGTGAACCAATCGGAGTTTGTGTGAGGGGGCCAGAACAGGCCATTTCACCACAACCTGCGGAACATTAATTAGAAAAGTTTGTGTATAATGTGCATCATGATCCCAGAAAAATCATACAAGATATTCAGATAATGTGAACAATCTAGGAAATCAATTAAACAAATACCTTTATCTTGCGGTGGGGTGAATGAGATGGGGGAAACTGCAGGAGGTTCTCCTGGGTTAAGCTTAGTTGAAGGAGGGTTCACAAACCGTCCTGCAAAAAAGTTAATTAATAAATGTTTAAAGGGAAATCTTGCATTGTATGTATATCTAATACCATGATATCTAGGTGAAGCCGAAGGGGATGGTGTCGGTGCCCACCGTCTCATCATCCGAATTTTAGGTGGATTGGATGGACCCAGTGCTGGAGTTGTTGCAGCTGCGTTAAGCAAGTGCTCAAGCTTAGAAACTGATTTCAAGCGATAATGACAAACTGTTTATGCACTCATCTACAACAATGTGAAACTCATGTTTGCAGGTGGCATCACCGCCAGTTAAGACAAGAGAATAAAATTGAGCTCAAATTGAGATTTAAGCATAGTTTATGGAAATACGTCAAGCATTTATTGTCTATGGAAATGCAATAACCACCATCTTAGTGTGGTGCATGACATTGAGGCATTTATCCTTTTAAAGCAAGAATTACGAGCAATTTCTACATTTAAAACATATCAACTAGTATCTAGATGCTCCAATGTTACATTAAATGTTGGGCGCTTCTAGGCGTCGGACTTGGCGCCCAGCGCTTAGTCGCCTAGACGGGCGCCTAAGCGGTTTCTGGGAAATTATAAGTTCATCTCAACTCAAATTACAATATGTATTAAATTCATATAAATTTTTAAAAAAAGATAACAATTTTAGTTCCATAATAAATCATGCATACTTAGATACTAAATAGTCAAAATAATAATTAACAATGCTAGAGCCTAAGATGTTTTCTTTTTTATTTTTAATTACAATAATTGATAGTGAATGTCAATGTTACAGAAAACTTAGATGCCGGACTGGTGTCTAGGCGGATTTTTTTTTTCATTTAAATAGTGGTCGATGAGGTTTTGTTGAAGGTCGGAGGAGGTAGTGGAGGTGTTCATATTTGGAGGTTAATGGAGTTTGGAGGACGTGTAGGCTACAACACATAAAATCACAACCAAGACCTACAAGATGCAATCCACGTAAGCAGGTAATGCTCCCCTAATCCCTCGTAAAATCTAGATGGGCAGTCTAAATACCGCCTAGGCGCTAGGCGCTAGTTAGGCGGCCTAGGTACCGCCTAGGCCTAGGCGAACGCCTAAGCGGACTAGGCGGAGTTTTTTTAAAATAGTGAGATGCTCTATGAAGTACAAACACAAAAGATAAACCCCTTGATTTGACCGGATTTGATAGAAGGAGAAGTAAGATTGAAGTGGATGGGTAGCAACCTCTCCTAGCTGAAAAGTCTTAACATGTTCTTCTCAACTTGTACTTCTTAACTTACTATTTTGATACATTTCTGTTTACTAACTCGATACATATACATATATAGAGGTATATGTATGTAATTATGCATATATGTGTATATATGTATATATAAGGGGATATTGGGTATCATTGGTACCTCTTGTAATAAAATGAGCTACCAAAAGTTAGGTGTGATGACATCCATCAGCTGCTATGTGACTAGTAGGGTAGCCTTCGCCATTAGTTCATCTCTAGATACTTCATATTTTATATGTATGCATTTATGCATGTAAAATGAGCTGCCACCTCATACTTAATTTTACATATGTGTGCATGTATGTATACACACAAATGTATGTAAGAGATCATCCATGAGAGGCCCTTTATGGAGTTCTCATTAATGTTCTCACCATGGAGTCTTCGCTTACACAATTTTCATGTATGGGAGATTGTCAGATACAGAGTAGTTCTCAAAATAAGCATTGTGAGAGTTCCCAAATGAGTCATGTTTGGACAATTCATACGGTTCACCTCGCTCTACACATCCAAAATAGTCTAAGAATGAAAGATCAAGAAGACTGTATAATTTTTCAGTTACATGTCAAATGATCTCTTTATTAAAAGGCAAAAAACAGGAAGTTTTAAAACTTTGATTTCTTTTCTAGTGTTAACTTGAATATGTTGAACAAGATGAATACTACGGATCGTCCATGAGACCATGAGATGTGATCCATTATGGGAACAAGTCATTTTTTTTCTATAGTTACATCGTATCAGAGTAGAAGTATAGAACATAGAATTCAGGAATGTGGGATGTTATTGCGAACCACGACCCAGGTTCAATTGTTCGGGATTAGCAATGGAACATGACCCAATTCACCAACTCAGCCGAACCGATTTAGAATTTTCACCAGTTAAAATCTTGAGCAATAGTATCTCTTTTTCAAAAGAATAAGCAACAAAAAACGTGAGAAATTAAACAAATAAACTATGAACACCTTAATTGCAAGGTGATTCTCAAGGTTTTTTTACCATTATTGAAATCAAGTATCAATGAGCCGGGTTCCATGCAACCATGGTATAGTGCCACGACTCATGCTGCTTGCAAGGTGTTAAGTAGTAATATTAATGACATAACTTGAGTACAATATACTAGCCCCATACTAATACAGTGACAATTACTCTGTCGTATCAGTTGCTAACATTCCTTACTTTCATGGGAGAAGCAAACAGATAAGACTTTGTTCATGAGGCAGTCAAAGCAAGAACTCCTTACATGTGTTCATAAAATTGATTGCAATTCTTTTGAGTTCTAAAGATTTTCCTAAATTTCTTTATTAACCAAGTTGGGCATGATTGACATACATATACACTCAATCTAGAGGGGGACTACAACAGTGGCTAATATGTTTGGAAACTTAGAGAAGTTTGTTTCAGCCCCACATATTGGAGATATGTAACAGTATTATATTTTCTATGCTATAAATAGAAAATAAATAGAACAAAAGAATGTCAAAAAAAGCTCTAAAAATGCACGGGCTCTTGTCTACATGCATTTTATAATATAATAAAGAACATTGTTGTCGGGAACGCAGACCACAAACCAGGTTCAGCTGTCCATGGATCAATGGTAGAATGCGACCTAGTTTGCCACTCCAGCGACCCGATTTAGAATTCAAACAATTAAATTTTGAAAAAATAATTATTTTTAGAAAAATAGAAAATGAAAAGCATGAGAAATTAAACAAATAAACTATACTACTTTAATTGCAACATGATTCTCAAGGTTCTTTTGCCATTGCTGCTATCAACAAACATATTTCTTGAAGTTGTCTCCTAGACCTAGTTTGGCACATGGGAATCGAGTCAAGTGTGAATAAAATGAAGGAACGGAATGGAAAATGCTGGAATAGAATGATGATTTTGATTCTGACGTTTGAATGTGATTAGAGGATGAAGCGTGAATGACAAAGATTGGTGTGGGTAATTAACAAGCAATCGGCATCATGTAGAAGTTATTTTATTGGTTACGACTCATTTTGTCAAATGAGCTACCACCACCCTGGGTGGTCCCCTCACCACCTATCCATCTCTTGGTAGCTAATTTAGCAAAATGAGTTGTCGTATCGTACTCAATTTTCTATGGTTTGTTTGGGTGTATGCACGTACGGAAAGGTGCAGGTCTCACCATTCCTATCTCTTGGTAGCTCATTTTGCCAAATTTGGTGCCAGCTAATATCAACTCTAACATATACATACACCCACCCACACACAGAGACATGTATTTATTCCTGCATAGTTTAGCATGGTCCATTTATGCATCACATAATGATTTATGTGTTGTGTTGCGTGACCAACTGCATAATGGACTATGTTTTTATAACAATGTTTAGTAAAGAGAAAAAGAATGGGGTGAGAAGCATTAGCTGATACATATATCAAAAGAATTTAAAAATGGAGTCGACTTTATGAACTTTCCTCTTTTCTTTTTGGCAACCAACAAAAATGAACAGCAACATTCGCGATTTTGTAATTTAACTAATTCCTATCACTGACTCCTGCATGATTATTTTAGAACAATTAACTCCAAGACATCAACGATCTTCACAACATTCAAGTGCGTCGTACTGTTGCTTTTGCAAGAATTTGTTTGGTACCAAATCTCATCCCTGCGGGCTAGGTATATAGCTCACAGTTAACTTTGGCCACAGGCACACAGTGGAAACCATGAAACTCCAATTCAGATATCAAACAAGCATTACATCTGTTAGATTTCCTGCTTATCATCTCAAATTTCAAAAATAAGGTAATAAAGTTGTATGCAGCACAATAGAAACATTAATCCATGATCTTTCTTTAATCTTTCCTGTCAAAATATCGAGTAAAGATCTTTGTTTTCCTTTCCAATCTATAAATCAGATATTCATGAAAGTACAGCACTGTACTTATCCAGATACATCATAGACATCAGGCACATACATGAATTCATCCAAGAAAAGTAAACTAATTATAGTAGTGCATAACTTTGTGTGGCACTACGACAGCAGAAGGTAGCATAAGGGAAGAGAGACGAGCAAGCGCCATTTTCAGAAATCACGCAGGAAATAAGAACCATGGTCTAATCAATTTGCTGACAAGTGAGCTGGTTCAGCTTACCATTGATCTCCATCGTTCACTTTTTTTGTTTTTTTTTTTTTGTTTTTTGTTTTTTGTTGGGGAAGGGGATAGAAGACAGCATTAGGTTCAGAGAAAGGTAGAGTTTGAGAATAAGAGAGAGGGCGTTTGTGATTTTTTTTAAATTAAAGAAAATATTCCTGATTGGGAAATACAATGAAACTCTACATAACTGGGATAAATCACCTTGCGAGTCTTTCTTCCTTCCAATTTACACTAAGGGCCATTCACTACTCATGGAAATTCTTTTCTGCGCTATGGTTGATGGGACTTCTAGCACCATACTTAACATATTTCTATCTTGGTACTATATTGAAAACCTAAACAAATTGTGCATGATTTTATTAGATATAGTATTGTCTACTAGTATCTTTGATGAAAACAACACTAATCAACAGTGAACTATGCATGCATGAGCAAGCCACAAATACACTACCTTTCCACTTGATAAAGCGTATGACTTCCAGAATCTCATTGCAGATACAGTATCACAAGCCCCAATTCAAAATTCAAAAAAAAAAAAAAAAAAAAAAAAAAAAAAAGCAAAAAAAAAACCCCCCCTCCATTATCCTAAACCCTACAGTCTCAATCGAAACAGCAATATCTCACATTCAAAGCAGCAATTTTGAATAGTTTCCATCTGATACTCCAGAACACCCAGATTTAGGTAACTCAACCAATTTCCATATTCTTCACATACCGCTTCTCCACAAATTAAGTACATTCCACAAAAATAGCATCGAAGCCCAAAAATTTCCTCAAATAGTAACAACAAAATTTCAGTATAATTAAGCTCGAGAATTTTACCCAAGCAGCAAGAATCCAAGGCGAGGAAACACAGCGAGATCAACAAACGAGCAAGCGCCATCTTCACAAATCACGAAGGAATCAAGAATCGCAGTCCGATCACTGGCCGGTGAGCCGATCCAGCTCACCATTGGCCTCCATCCTCGATCAAAGCGCCCGCATTTTCCCTAAAAACCCTAGCTTTTTTTTTTTTTTTTTTTGAGAGAGGAGGAAGAGAGCAGCAGATCTTGAGAAAGATTGAGCTTTGTTGAGAAAGGGTTTTTTTTTTTTTTTTTTTTGAGAGAGGAGGAAGAGAGCAGCAGATCTTGAGAAAGATTGAGCTTTGTTGAGAAAGGGAGAGAGAGGGGTTTGGGGGTTTTTGAAGAGAACAAAAAAGGAAAGTTGAAGAGAGATGAGTTGGGTTCATATCGATGCATTAATTACCTTTTTTTTTGGCTTGTAATAATCTCAAGACTTTTTTTTTTCTTTTTTTGGCTCCCTCTCCCTCTCTCTCTCTCTCTCTAATTATGGGGTTTAAGCATTGGAAAGAGAGGGAAGCAAGAGCTTAACTGTAAGTCTGATAGCACGTGGAACCTCTGTGAGGTTTTCGGCTCGGAACCCGTTTTCCTTGGAAAACAATATCCTTGTCCGAGAAAATCAAGGGAATCCGTGGAGCAAATATTCATTATATATTATCTTATCTTTACTACTTTATTGTACGAGTCAAAAAAAAGTAAATACTATAGAAACTTATATTTTCTCATTAAATTTTTCTAAAAAAAATAACTACCGTTTGTTTATTGCGCAGGATGCAGAAAATATTTATTGGGGGCAGAAGAGAAGTATCCTTTTAACCAAAATTAAAAATATAATATTATACAACTATAGTACCTGATGTAAATGCAACTTGGTATACTTTATCAGCTTCGTTGTATCATATTTTACTTGTAATGCATACATGAACAAAAAAAAGAGTGTTTTCAAACTTATGATTTACTTAAATGGCCTACATTCAAGTGAGCTTATAATTGTATATTGATTATGTAAATAAGGGTTAGGGTGCAAATATTTTAAAACCAATGGGGCAAATTGTAAAATGAGAAAGATCCAAAGGAAATTTCCATTTTGTTAACTCCTAAAATAAATCCCTAACCGTTTAATGAGTTTTTTCATTAAAAATGATTTCATATCTATTTCATATCCAGTGATTTGCATAAAAATATAGCAAAAAATATACTGATATCTGATTAAGTTTGTTGTTGGCATAGGATTTAAGATTGTTTTGTTTTGTAAGCACTTGACAAACAAATCGAGATAAAAAAAAATAGTTGGATACTATTTGATACTTTATTGAGTAACTGCACATATAAAGCTCAATGTGAACACTAACATTTAACGTATAAGCAGGAGTTCAATGAAATGTTTTAAACAAATAATCATATAATTCCATAAAACAATATATTTCATTTCTGGAAAGTTCTCCCCCACTCATCTTTCCTTAATACATCAATTTACCAATCTTGCTACTCTCTTATGCCTTTCCTAAAATATACAATTTCCATAATAAATATCCAAAAGTCCAAATCAGAATTGATCCAGCACATCAAGTCCTTTTGGATTTCAGACAAGTTACTATACCCGACCCGAATGAAACCCGTTAAGGTCTCGAGCTCCCAAGATATTTACTCGCGCCTATTTTTCGTTCCAAACCCTAAAAAAAAATCCCAAATCCATCGACGATCCCGTTGCGGAGTTCGCCTCTGAGATTTATTGCCGTTGTTTGATGGTTGTCGAGATCGATACTAGAGCGTCTCTAGGGTTTCTCAAGTAAGTGTTTGATCTTCTCTTCTTCTCGAATTGCGTAGTGATCGATCATGTGGATA